TATGTAATTAATTTTTTTAGCAAAAATTGTATAATTATTTGAAACCCACTCTATTGCAGCTTTCTTGGTTTTTCTGTCAAGTTTAGAGTCTAAAATATTCCTCAACTAAGCGAAAAGGATTAGGATTGCCCCTAAAGTCAAGAAAGGTTCATTCATACCCCTTAACTACTAAAATTTTTTATTCTATTACCCTATCGTCCATTCCAACAAATTTCATCATTAATGGGGCCGACATTTAAATTTTTTTAATATTTTTAATGGGTCCCAATGGTTTTTTTTAATAGGATTAAGGGTTTAAAATACCCCTCAACTAAGCAAAAAGGACCTAAGCTGTCCCTAAAGTCAAAGGGTCATTTATATCCTTCAACTATTAAGATTTTTTATTTCATCACCTTGTCATCTATTCCATCAAATTTCATCCTTATTTGGGGCCACTTTAATTTTTTTAATAGGTCCCACCATTTTAAAATATTTTTAGTAAGTCTTCTCAAGGCTCAAGCCACACCTTCAAGCAAGTCTTTATTCAAGCTTGTAAAAATTTAAACTTCACACCATGGCTCTCCCATGGCTTCAAGCTCAATTTTTGTATCATATTCCTAACCTGGTCCTCAAATCTGCCATTGCCAAATGGGATTAGAATTTCACTAACCATTGCAGAGACATGCTTTTGCCACTCACAATGATAATAAGACTGCAGTTGGCATACTGGGTGCTCTACTATTGCTACTACCACTCTACTTGTTTCAATCCAAGAACGAGTGAATGAGAAGGAATGAAAGAGGGAGAGAGAGGGGAGAGGTAGAACAGGGGTATTTTTTTAAAATGATAAAAATATTAAAAAAAATATGGAACTCACTAAAAATATTAAAAATTCAAATGTGGGCCTCCCTAATGGTGAAAATTGACACAACAGGTAGTACTAATGGAATTAAAAATTTTAGCAGTTGAGGGATATAAATGAATATTTCTTGACTTTAGAGGTGATTCTGACCCTTTTATGCTCAGTTAAGGGGCATTTTAGACTCTTAATTTCAAAAAATATAATCAAAAAAATATAAAGTAGGTCCCACTATTATATTTATTATTAAAAAATTTATGTGGGCCCTACTAATGGATAATTAACATTAAGATAGAGAGGATGTAGCATCCTAAGTTTTCAATATGGGAATTATCAGTGCTTTCAAGGGTATTTTTGTCAAATTAGATAAATTAGCAGACTAACATAATTTTTGAATCCTTAGATAGCCTTAGAAGAAGGAAAGGTTGAAGTTCAAGTGGCCCATAGCATGGAGGGAAGTTTAAATTATAGTGGGGCTTTCTATGCCATGCATTCTGGCGCACGTGTAAAATTAGTTTTTATCAGACTCGCAAAAACAAACTGGAACTAGAGGAATGAAAGAAGGGAAAATAAGAGAGCAATAGAAGAGACCTTAAGGCAATTAGTGCATGATCTTAAGGGCATCATGGAGGTACATTAGGCTTACTACACCTTAGGTAAGCTTCCCTTTTCTCCCCCTCTTCATTTTATGTGAAATTTTTGACTTTAGGGCATTTAGAGGCTTGTTTTTGTTTATGGTTGAGTAATGGATGAATCCACTGACTTATTTAAGGTTTTAAAAAGTTAAATCAAGTCTCTAACCCTAAGTTTATGAGTTTTATAGTGATTTGAAATTTTTATTGAGGGTTTCGATGAATACTAGGCATAATTTAAGAGTTTTTAAATAATATGAATAATTGGATGGTAATTTTGGTATGTTAGGATGTTTAATAAGATTATTATAGTGTTTTGAAATGGTAATTGTTGTTAGATAAGGAATTTAAGTGTTATGAATACTTAGAATCTATTGAATTCGGGGTTTACCAGAGTGATAATTGATAATTATCACTTAATTGTGTAGATTAAGGGTTATTTGTGTGTTATTATGCGAGTGAAAACGTTTGGAGCTAACATTAAACCATGGTAACTCTTTTGTGACAAAGAGTTGAGGTAACTACGTAATTTGCACTAATTGATTATATTGCTTAACTATTTCATGAGTAGATTCATATATTTTTTTACATGTGTTTTGGAAACTTGGCATGTTGGAAAAGATGATTTTCCTTATGCATTAAAAAATACTTTCGAAATGATAAAAAATTTTGAATCCTTATATGGAAAAGATAATGATTTTTTACAAGTGTGTGGAATGTATGGAAAGTAAAAGCATGATCATGTCAGGGGGGTGGGAGTTCACCCATAGAAAAGAGTAGTGGAAGTCCATATAACATGTATCTCCTTAGTGTTTAGTGAAGTAAGGCGTTGGAGAAAGTCTCTTTAGTATCTATGCAGGATACGGTGTTGGAGAGTGACATTCCTTGGTATCAATGATACGGTGTTGAAATAACATACCCCTAATTCGTGTGTGATAGGGGAAGATCATAGTCCAAAAGTGGGATAAAACACCTTTGGCCGGGTGATCCTACCACTGAAGGTGAGCTCGGACTATTATAAATGTATACTTGATTCAAGAACCTATGGTTTCATGTGGGGTGACATGAAGGATCGGATGGTAGAATAATCATACTAGTAGTAAATGACTTATACTTATGGAAAGGATTTGTTGAATATACTAAAGTGAAAATAGACATTTACTATGGAAAAGGTTATGTTGTAATATGCTAAAAGTGTGTTTTGGTGCTTGATAGCTCTACTCTCATATGGTTGTGCATGTTAATTAATGATAGTAAACTATTATGTTATTGAGATGTTTATTTCATTTCGTGGCTATGTTTTACAGGTTGAGGCTTTAGTATGGGCAAGGGGAAGGAAGTGACTATTGAAGATTGAAGAACATTGTTGTATAATTCTTCTCTTTCTTCTTTTTGGGTTTGTAATGAATATGTTATGTTATAATGCCAACTTAGGAGCATTTCATTTGTTTTGATAATCACTTGTATAAATATGTGAAATGTGTGCATATCTCGACCTAAGCTTGTATTGTTTTGTTCAAATGTGAGTGAGAGGTCAAGATGCAATTATAAGTGATATAATGTGATGATTATGTGTAAAAATGACCAAAACTATATGTTAGTTGAATTTTTATTTACCCCATTGTTGTGAATTAGAGGTCTAGTGGCCATCTTGAGTATGATTGGTTGTTTGGGTAATATGATTGGCCGTGTGTGTTGTGTGTGGTCCATTTGAGGTGGTTAAAGTGGTTCCAGAGCTAATGTCATTTGGAAGTGTGATTTAGACACCCTTGAACGTGTTTTAAGGTAAAAATAAATAATTTTAGGTTTAGGTGTCTAACTTTTTAAGGGATAATTGTTTAAGTATGAGACTAGTGCCATTGGCTAGAGAGCTCTTTGTGTAGATACTTAAATTGCTCAAATCGAACATTGAATGGCGAAACAGAATGCTCAGAAAGTTCAAAGTACTATCATGACATCGATTTGCTGTCATGATAGTAGGTGTGCACCACGATGCATAGCAGTTGCGCCACGGTAAAATGCTCGCTGAGGGACTCGTTCCTTTGTGCCATTCACTACGGTGAACGAGTCAGATTCTAAAAAATTTTTAGATTGTATCTGCTTGTTTTTAAGTGCTATTTGATTTTCATGTTTGTTATTATATTTGATTGATTTTAAATTATAATTTAAGCTGAAACAATATTTTAAAGAGTTTTTCTTAGAATCCCAGTGTTTTAAATAATTATTTTTAAACCCTTGAGTTGTAATAATTTTTACTTAGGATTTTAATTAATACTAATTATCACAACAGCGTGTTAGTGTATTATCCTGATAATATCAAGACAAGCATTACAGAGGAAGCAAAATTTTGAAGTTGAGGGATATAAATTAACCTCAAGTAAAATTTAGGATCATTGTGAATTTTTGTATAGAGTTTAAGAATAAAAATAACTTTAACTTTTTTCTTTTTAAATTCTAACTTTTTATTCTTTTAAATTTATGTACATTGCGTCTTTTGTCCTTTTTGTTTAAGCATAAAACTTACTTTAAAATTTATATGAGAATGCTTGCCCATAATTCAGTAATGTTTCCTTTTTTGTTTGACGAGTAAAAAGGGTAAATTCAATTATGATTTGAGTGAAACAAATTGAAAGATTTTACGTTTTTATATTATAAAAAAAAACTTCCAAAAATAAATTATAAACTGAGGAAGCCAATAAATTTTAATACCGCATTTTCTTTTATTTTTATTTCCTCTTTTCTATAAATTTTCCAAACGGTTTTAGGGCCTCCAATTCTTCAAAGGGGTTTGAAGCAACACAAATAGGAGGCCATGGGCAATGAGCATTTTCAAAGCTCACTAAAATACGGGACATTGACATAAACAAAATCTAAGCTAATGAACCAATCCCCAATGGTAGGACTTAAAATTTTGGCATTCAATTAGAATGCTTTTAATTTTAATTTAATTAACATGTCAACATGCCATACAAAGCAGCACCCAGTTTAAACTTTTTTTTCACACCCACCGCCCCACATTAGATCAACGGTAAAATAACGAAATTATTCAAAACCGAAGTACAAGGTAATGATAATTTACTTCGGAGTATTTAATAATTTTTACACAGTAATGATAATTTACTTCGCCTCTTGTACTTTGTTTGAATATATCATTGCTATATATTATACATGCATACATACAAATGTATTCGAGTACAAGTTACTAAATTTATAAATTATATATGTGTGTATGTACATATATATATAAAGCTACGGAAAATGCAGATTTTTTTCAATAAAACTGAAATTAGTTCAGTTAAATGAAGACACGGTCCAGAAATAAGAAACCTGTGCTTAAATGATATTCATCATTGGCCTCTTTTTGAATAAGACGCGGGGAATGATTAAAGATGTAAAAAATCATTCTTAAGCTCACATGCTTTTCTAGCTAAGGAATTAGTAAAACTAATTACATCTCTGAAACAAAAGTAATTGAAATAAGCCAGTCTCAATTCACAATGCAAGAAGCACGGTGAATATGAAAGATAATATGAACAAAGAAGAGATATATTAGCAAATATGAAAGATAAACTCAGTCCTCACTCCTCAGTGAAAATGACTCTCAAGAGAGACATATTCTTTCAACATGAGCTGCTTTGCAACCCCAGAATCACCATACCTTAGAAGGAGCACATAATCTCAATTACATGTCAACCGCAATCTGATGAGTGACAGATCCACATTCAGGAGCAAAAACACTGTTTAGTGGTCAAAACCCTAGTATATTATATATGTTCATACAAGACTATTCATTTCCTATCTTCAACAATTATAATTTGCAAATTTTAACTTGAGAAAAAGTATCACTCCTCCGTCAGAAATCCTACAAATTTTGTTTCTCCTTTTTTTTTTTTTTTCACTGGTCATCTCGTGCATCAACTTATTTTTCAAGTATTGGCATGACGAAAGACACCATAAGAAAATGTGACTTGATAAATCTATTCAACAAGAGGCGTGCGCATGAAGAGGAACTGCACCATAAAAAAGATTCCACGAGGAGGAGGAGTTGTGTCAGTTAACAAGAAAAGCCAAATCCCCGAGTATTAACAGTTCCTTTACATACCTCAAACGATTTTCCCGATCGTTCAAATTCCAGCATACTCAGAGCAACTTGACAGCTTTGTGAGACAAGAGGCTCTGGATCTGCCACAAATTCCTCAAGAAGTGCTACGCTCCCGTCATCTAGAAGGTATGCATCCAAGATAACAAGTGTTAATTCAACAAGTATGCCAGTTGAGATTTTAACTCTGCGTTATTGGAACTAATGATATCCTAGATGTGAGCCCCATACAATGCACAGAATTTATAAAAACAGGTTGCATTGTTCATAGCATATACTTGCCATAAATTTTATGTTTGGTACTGATGTTGATATCAATTTCGAATTTGTGATAGTTAACTACAACCACTCATGCAGCTCAACATAACTAAACTGAATTGGATTAGACCTTAGCATGTGTACTTCATTAAGATTGGGGGGGAACCAAGAATGTCATGCTTATTTGTTTTAGAAAAAGATGACAGAGCCGCAAGAAGACATGTTTATTTTTTGCTGGTTTAGAGAGCGAA